GGTTCAACCTTTTTATAATATACTTATGGAATCCCAAGGAGCGTATGGGTGTACAATAAGTGCTCTACACCAGGCACAACTGTTTTAAAATTTCTCCCCCTGTCAGATTACTGACACGACCTTTTCCAACAGGATTAAAGAGTGTACAGCCATAACTATACATCATTTCCCATACTCCGTAATCATCACTCGTCATCCTCTTCATGGCCACCGCCATACGCCTCCGCCGGCTCGGTGCAATCGCCGCCACATCTGGCGCCGTTTATTACACCCTCCTTGGCAACACCTCAATCTCCTCCAGTGATCGCGGCGGCGGCGGATCAGTCCTCACCGCCATAAAGCAGAAAATTGCGGACCCATTTGCCGTTGTTCCATCTCGTGATGTTCAGGAGTCGGCTCTGATGGGGTCTAGCTCAGCCAATCCGCTCGACATCCTTGTCGTGGGCGGAGGCGCCACCGGTTGCGGAGTTGCCCTGGACGCCACCACCCGCGGCCTTCGCGTCGGCCTTGTCGAGCGCGAGGACTTCTCCTCCGGCACCTCCTCCCGGTCAACCAAACTCATCCATGGAGGTCAGCATATCTACATATATATTACGTGCATTAATACATACATTAGTGTGTTGTAATCTGAGCAGTAGGAATTGTACCGTAATAGGCACGGGTTAAGGTTAACTGGCATTGATGACTTTCATACGCTATCATATGGTACCTGTGACTGTGTGAAAATAATAATTTTGTTCTTCACGTGAAAGGGACATGTTCTTGTCATATTAACGAAACAAATTATAGTTCTAGAAAAACCATTCTATATTCCAAATGAAGCTTTGCTTTTATCGACTGTAGAAATTTGAAGCAGAGTGTTAATTCTTCTTCTTCTTCCTTTCTTTTTTTTTTCCCCACACGTATACAGGAGGAAAAGAGGTATTGATTGGCATCATTAATTAAATGAAATAAGGAGACAAAATTTCCGAAACGTTAAAGAATTAAGGACCTACTAGCTTAAGGCATTAAATAAGAGTACAGCTAACAACAGTGGTACTACTTTTGATTCATACGATTAGGCAGTGGTTCCCACTGTCACCTAGACGGGTGCTAAGCATTTGTGGTGCTACATAGTAGTATTCATAGGATAATCACATATGTACGTACCAAGTACTTTGATTTCACTACCACCGAGTATTCAAATGTGAAGTCATGTGGATTCTAGCGATCCAATTGAAGACAGGAAGATATTACTTAATTGGAGAGAGATTTACATCATTTCTCTCTTTTGGAAATGTTAGAAATTGCAAAAATGCTATTTAATTAGCTTGTCATTCGAAATGATCATTTTTGTTCCGGTTTTAGATTGAACCGAAATTAGTCATGGACAATGACCTAATGACATAAGAAAAAACGTAACTTGTTTAGCCATAGAAACTTTATTATTAGGCGAGTGCTAAACCGTACCGCTTTTAGAACTGTACTATGTGCAAAAACATATTGTAGGGTCAATTATAGTTTCTTTCAACTTGTTAGTTAAACTATGTACAAAAAATTGCACTAAACTTTTGCATGGACGATGCCGTCCAAGAATTTTTAGTATTATTTGACATACATGTGTGACAAAAACAATAGCATTCCCTCACTTTACAATCTGGCAGTAGTATCAATCATATCAGTCCATTATAATTGGTATGAATGTGATCTGATAGGAAATAGCACGACAATGAATTCTTTTCCCCTTAACCATGAAATTAAATTCCTGACATTTTTATGATAAAGGGTGACAATCTTAAAGAACCACTCATCTTATACTATATAGATTACAATAGAAGCTTTTTATATATCTTGGAGATGGATGGACAAGCATAAACAAAATAAGTAAGACTCGCCCATGGTCTTAACTGAAAATTACCTTTTATATAGGCTTGAAAGGAGATTTCTTACTAAGTCCTTATCTTTTTGCTTTAATACTTATTTATTTTTCACTTGAGATATCTAAGATGAGATTCCTTAGACTATGCTATTCTGTTGATGATATATTGGAGGAGATTAGGAGGCGGAATATAGTAAAAATATTGAAGGAACATTTTAGAATCTAGAATTTAAAATGGAATAGGTGGAATTCCCCCTTAATCATAGTAAGAATAAGTATGATGGCAGAGTCAATGTAGAAGATCATGTCATCTCCAATAGCAGTCTATTGAGTAGGGTGTAATGAATATGGTTAGAGTACCTTGTAAATAGAGAGGCGCAACTCAAATTCTATTCCTTTAAATCATATCTATCTAGTTAAACGGAATGCTCTGTAGAATGATTTTTAGACCAGATTCTAATATGGTGTGCACTAGAAGGCAAAATAACTGCAACGTGAGTTTAGCAAAAATGAATATGTTGAGATCAATGTTTTTAAACCAGTCTGAACATTGAACCGGAAAATGGAAAAGGTCAAGGTTCATCCAGGATTGAACCGCTTGCCAAATATATTTATATAAATATATAAACTGGTTGTTGGAGACTCAAAAAATGGTGACATGCTATTTATTGGATTTGGCACCCTGCTGAAGATTTTTCTTTGTTCCTGTGTTGGAAATTGGGGAGTAGGATTAGAGGATGAACTTCTATAAAACCAGGATCTATGAATTTGGAGTCTAGGAAGCTGTGTGGTTACATCCGGGGCATATTCCTGTTCTTTTTTAAAGTCAAACAGGGAAACTCTCCAAAACCATGAGTGGTTTATCGGTTCTCGACTGAATGAATCAGTTTAGCTAATTTTTTACAGGTTTTTTAGTATTTGGTTAATAGCACGTAACTTGACCGCTTTGTGCCTGGTTCCGGTTGAATCGGCAGGTCCATTTAGGTTTTAACAACATTGGTTGAGATGGATATTTCGCCACATTACAATGATAAAAAATATGAAATGGAGATATGAGATGCCAAGTGAATGTGACACCTTCTGAGGATAAAGGAAGGACGAAGTAGATGCTTAGATTATGCCTTGTACAATCCTAAATGTGTCCTATTCACAAGAGCTATGCAATCTTAGTAGAACGAGATGGACTAAAACTAACATGCTTCCTCCATTTGTTGTTTTGCAAGTTTACATTGTTAACATTGACGCCATCGTGCTATTTTTTGAGTAAGGATTCACATGAACCTAAAGTTTCTTTTTTCCCACATTTTGAGGTCATATTTTGACATTTCTCTTTATTATTCTAAGACGTTAATTTCCTAATCTTAGCCACAATGGATCATATATTTTGGCTAATTTAGTCTAACACGGTTAATGGTTTCACTTGCAACTTGTGTGTGCAGTTGATTAACTTTGGCTGCTATTCTTTCATTTTTATTTTATTTTTTTGTAGACAATACTAAGAGGCTCAATTTGTCAACAATTATTTTTCAATCTTTTTAATAGATAATCAGGTAATTTTATTAATCAAAGCAAAATACACAGAAAGTGTATCATCAATTTAAACAAGAAACATACAATAAGAAATTAGGTAGCCCTTCTACAGGATTAGAAGCCGCGACATTAAACCACTATACAAAGTTAAAGAAAATAGTTCTCTGATGTGCTTCGTCGTTTATGTTTGGTCTTCAAAACAGTAATTGTTCATTTCTCTCCACACACACTATACAATGTATCTCGGGATAAAATCCCTTACAAGTTTGCTATCCTTATCACAAAGTTTTATCCTTTATGCTCACAACACATCCTTTAAATGTCTAGGCAACATATGGAATTGAGACGCTAGCCACCGCCAACAAACACCATCGCAATGAATGAGCAAGTGGTCAATCGTCTCCCCATCCTTCTTAAACATATAGCATCACTCGATTGCATAAAAATCTTTTCTTCGAAGATTATCCACCATTAACACTTGTCATCTCACAACTGTCCATAGTAAAAATGCCACCTGTGGAGGCAACCACACCGTCTTCCAGGCTAATGAACTCTCTAAATGTCCCAAAAGGGATCTACAATAAGTGCGAATTGAGAAAATACTACCCCGTGTCAACCACCACTTGCTATGATCATCTTCTCTTACCTGAATTTGCACCTCATGCAAGGAGGTCAAAAATAGCGTATAATCATTCAATACTCAATCCTGTAAACCCCTCCCAAAAGTAATATTCCAATTGTAACTCCCATTGTCAATGTCTAATACATCATTCACTGTAGCAGAAGGCATCAGGGCAATGCGATGCAAGGAAGGAAACCCACTTTTAGCGGTTGATGTTCACACCAACAATCATCCCAGAATCTAGACCCCGTTTGGTACCCATTTTTTTCAAAATGCATTTCAATAGCGTATAATCATTCAATACTCAATCCTGTAAACCCCTCCCAAAAGTAATATTCCAATTGTAACTCCCATTGTCAATGTCTAATACATCATTCACTGTAGCAGAAGGCATCAGGGCAATGCGATGCAAGGAAGGAAACCCACTTTTAGCGGTTGATGTTCACACCAACAATCATCCCAGAATCTAGACCCCGTTTGGTACCCATTTTTTTCAAAATGCATTTCTCTCTTTTTTTTCTACCACACATTCTTTATTAAAATAATATTACACGTAAATAAAAAAAAAATTTCTTATTTTTCAACCACATATTTCCCATTAATTTACTATTCAAAAATGCATTTTTACATAAAATTTGTCTCCCAAACACCCGCCTAATAATACTAACATTCCCCACTGCGAAAGTCAATGTATCCCGGAAGTTAATATTATTTTTCAATCTAAGAAAAATTGTGATCTCTTTTATAATTTTATTAGATGATATCTCAGATATTCTTGATTTCTTTATAGCATCTTGGATATCTGTTGCTCACGTGTAAGATAATCATTTCAGGAGTTCGTTACTTGGAGAAAGCTGTTTTTAACTTAGATTATGGGCAGTTAAAGCTGGTTTTCCATGCTCTTGAGGAGCGGAAACAAGTCATTGATAATGCTCCACACCTCTGCCATGCTCTGCCGTGCATGACTCCATGTTTTGACTGGTTTGAGGCTATATACTACTGGATTGGCTTGAAAATGTACGATTTAGTTGCTGGGAGGCAGTTGCTGCATTTGTCTAGGTACTATTCAGCACAAGAGTCGGTTGAACTCTTTCCCACATTGGCAAGGAATGGCAAAAACAAGACCTTGAAGGGCACTGTGGTTTATTATGATGGACAAATGAATGATTCGCGTCTAAATGTTGCAATAGCATGTACAGCTGCTTTAGCTGGTGCAGCTGTACTTAACCATGCAGAAGTGATATCCTTACTTAAAGATGAGGTCAGCGGGCGAATAATCGGTGCACGAATAAGAAATAATCTATCAGGTACCAAAGGAATCATATCTGTACATTTCCATCTGTTCGTATGACTATTATGCAGATGATTCATTAGTGAATTTTCTTGCCTATTTTCATCTAATGTAAAATTTAATTGATATATAATTTAGAGTATCCTTTTGGGTTATGAGGCTCCTGCACCATCTCCCCTTAAGCTTCAGATTCTATACATCGTGTTTGATTATGTTTGACTATTCTTCTGTTAGCATTCCATGTTTTTATATGAAGTGTTACTGGTGCCCATTTTCCTCAGGATTTAGTACCATCAATACAGTTGTCGGAAGGAAGAAGTATTGGTCATTTTTTGTCCCATAGATTTACTTGAGCACAAACATGGGTATATTGAGAAACAAAATAGAAAAAATGGTGAGGTGAAGACTTCATTTAATTATGCCTCTGTTGTAGAAGCTGAAAATTTTCATCTGTGTTGGCTGCTTAGTTACGCATATGCTTTTCTAATTCCTTGCTATTTGTTAAGCTTACACACATAAGAAACCTTCTGGTCTCTGGTTAGAATGTTAGCCTAATGGCTATTAGCCAACCCTGCAAGGTTGAGACACAGAGTTCAGCCTCCTCTTATATTCTCACTCTAACATCCGGCTATCAACCTGTTACAATTTCTTTTGACATTTAAGTTTACATCCATACATAATATTAATTTTGGCCAAGAGCTGCTCGCTGATTCCTTTTAACGAAATATTAGTTTTGCATGTCATTTTGGTTTGTTAGTGTCACGTAGTATCCACAGAAAGTACTGAATTTGCATAAGGTAATTCCTAACCTGTTTCATTGCTTCTAGTGGCATGCTTGGTGAGTAGGATTTGCGATTGGATTGTACTAGACAATATTAAAATAGAAAAATATATAATATTGTTTATTATACTGCTTATTCATGTCAACTACTACATATCAAACAAGCACTAGTAATATGTTTGGTAACAAGGACTTGATAGTAACGGATAGTATTAAAGAAGAAAATAAGCTAAAATCTTGTCCAATATTGTACCAACAAGCGCCAAATGTTTTCGTAATGATTTCTTGGATTAAGCTCAATTGGGTCATCAAACTTAACGAGTCAACACTTTCACGTATTCTAGAATGGATAACTAGTAGTGTTCCTTGGATAAATTTTACTGTTTCTTTGAGATTCATGTT